ACAGTTGAAGTTGTAAGGTTTTACTGGATCAAATTTTACTTGTAAGAATTTGACAGTACGAAAAACAGCTAATCGCATGGTGCTGGATGAAATTTAAACTAATAAGTAAACTGTTTGTGGGTTTTTATTGATGAATTTCACAAAATAAATTCATGTAAATATGAAATATATTGTTTTATAAGGAATATGCTTGCAAATTAATACGGGTTTTGCGTTCGCGTACTTTTTTGGAAATTTTTTGTATGAGAGCGAATTCTTAGAAATAAAGTTACTGGAGGAGAGTTGCTGGCAAGTTACTGGATAATTTGTAAACAAACACAACTATTAATTTATGCATTTGAATTATATATACTTATATACATACACTTGCATCCACTTGAATAGCGACAGTCAAAATCTGTATTTTTTTTTATATGGAAAAATTTAATTCGGATTTTGTTTGTCCCTTTTTAAGTGCAAAGAAGTGAAATTGGCTATAATAGTACATTTCTAAATTATTAACATTTTACCATATTATAAGAAAACTAATATAGTACTGGTCAAAATAATAGCACCAAACAATTTTTCACAGTTTCGACTATTTTCTAGATGTTTAGTGTCTACTAATATATATAAAAGTTGTACAAAATATAAAAAACCACGAAATCATTAAAATCTCAAGCTTTTTAATTCGAATTTCTAAAAAAAAATTGTTAGCAGTTTTATAGCTTATTAAATTTTACTATAACTCAGTATAGTTGCTAAAAATTCCTTAATATGTTTTTTTGTCGAATGTGCTTTGATTTTATTGCATAAAAAAATAATGTATGTGTAGAGATGTGAAGAGGACACATTGTGAAGTTTTGCTTAAACCGACATCGATATTTTTCAAAAACTATCGATAGTATCCCAGCTCTACTGTATATACTGTGTTTATGAAGCTTGGTATCATTGTCATTTGTGAGGATTATTTTTTGGAGAAGGAACTGCATCATAAAAAAGGACATGATGCGGATTGTTGTCTATTTGACAATAGTGGCTTTATGTTGGCAATTTGAATTGACGAATTCTCGTACTTCGACCTTATGGAAATTAAACGAAGACAGCGGCAAAATAACGGGGCATATTTCCTCTAATCTTGGCCAGGGGGATAACACATTGTTGGACGAATTCAGCATTCCAATGTTTGATGCTTCCGCTGATGTCTATGCTCAAGATGAAGTATTTTATATCATCGCATCTACTATGGCACTGGGTACAAGCGCTGGAGCCGGTATAACGGGTCCTGACACTGACAACGGTATAGGAAATGGGAGCAACAATAGGGGTGCGGGTTATGGCTGGGTACGAGAGTCGCCAGAAAATTCTTTGGAATCTCTAGGGACGGTAGCTAAACATTGTAACGAAAGCGGCACTATGACACATGAGAGCAAAAATGCAGAAGACGAAAGCAATAGCAAAGCTGCAATCGAGAACAGTGTGGGGCCGTCGATTGTAACAAATGTAGGCACTGCATTGGTAGTGGATGAAACCCTCGATTGCAAGCCAGTAAATTTCACCTATTACGACTATCTAATTGGAGTGGGACAGCGATTTAATCATCCGAAAATACCAGAACCAGAGGTAAGTTTGACTGCACGTGGTTAGGATGGATAAATTATGTAAATTATTATAATATGACACACATTCAGGTTGCATACATTTTTCTGAAAACGAAGGATGAAAACTCTTACAAAAACTTTGACATCACTGCACTGGAACGACGCCTTAAACGAGCCAAGCGTGAAAAGCCTAGATCCGTACAATTGTATAACCAAATCGGTAATTACTGGCGCATTATAGGCGACGCACGGCAAGCTATTGAGTGCTTTAGACGCGCTTTAGCAATGTCGCCAACAAATGCAGAAGTACTTCTGAATTTAGCACGTGTACTTTACAATCTACAATATCTTGATGATGCTATACATCTGACTAGAAGGTAGTTCCCAGAGCAGATGGTTAAAGTTCAATCAATTACGTGCAGTCAATGCAGGAGCTACATATGTAATTATTTCATTAAAAAAAAAAAACAAAATATCTACATACATATGGGTGTTTCCAAAAAAAGTAAACCGAAAAGGCAAGTAAATGAAGAGAACTGAAAAGAAAAAATTAAAATTAAATTTGATGTTACTATGTAGTAAAAATATTGTATGGGGGGAAAATCGGTCACGTCCTTTATCACATTTTAATTCAAAATTAAACCAACAACGAATTGCTTCTGACCGAAAATGAATTTGATGAATGTTTAAGAAAGGAAAACCTCAAAGGATTGACAGTTTTGTTTATGTTACCATTTACTCTAAAACCACTTCTGTTTTTGTAACGTCCGTTATGAGCTACTTTTAATCGATTTTCCCTACACCAGTGTTCCAAGCGCACCTAATTTGTTTGGCAACTAAAGGACGGTATAATAGTAACACAACGGCAAATTTTTTTTACAAGTGACCTGTTTTCGTATGATTTACATATATAACTCTTAAAGTCATGCGAAGTCACGTCCGACGTTATGGAAATACCCATATGCGTGGCATTAGCCTCTGCAATTTAATATTTTTTCCTGAATTGACGTATGTAATTGATTTTGGGCTACATCTCAGGGTAATATACAGTGGTCGAACAAATTATAGCCGCACGATATTTTGAAAGTTTTAACATATTAGGGCTGTGCATATGATCTTGCATTTGTATATTTGTAAATTTACAACAATAAAGCGCAAACGGTTGCCATGGTAGCAAGTAATTTGCAAATGCAATTCCAAAAACAAATCTAAGACCATTTCCACAATGTCCTGAATAACTCTATTAACTTTTTTAATTTTGGTTTTTTTTTCTAAAAATATAGTTCCTTTTTTAACAACCCGTGCAAATCAAAGTTTAAAATTTCGTGCAATGTTAAAAAAAAATTAGCAAACCTTCATAAAAATTTCGAATTAACAAAACGAAATAACAAAAAAAAAGTATGTTGAGACTTGTCCAAACGTGGTGCGGCTATAATTTTATCGACATATACAGTGTATAATATTAATAAAAAATACAAATTCCTCAAAGGTCATTGGAGATGCAACCACCTGGACGCTCTGCTTGGCAACAGTATTTTACACTTGGAGAAATATTTAAAGCTTATGGACATTTCCAGGAATCTATTCTACACTTGCGGCACGCACTTGAACTTTACCCGCAGCACGAGCCCATTCTGAAAGCATTGCGAGACGTGGAGAATAATCCTTCATCAACTTTGCATGTCTACACAGTTCTCATAATTGTTGCCTTGGTATGTAAGATGCAGGCGAGCAAATACCGCTTTATCGATCACATGTTATATGCATGTAGAGGAGGTAGTGATAACCAGTGGCAAACAGGTAACGATGTTTAACTGGGGATTTGTGTTAACCAGAGATGGTGAAAACGGGCCTTAGGGCCGGTTGTTCAATGTCTGGTTATCACAACTTGCCGGTTAAACATCATTATCGACGTTTTCGACATCATGCATATAACATGTGATCGATAAAGCAGTCGTTGTATTTAACCAGAGCTTCTACCTCCGATTAGTGCTAATCAGACAATGATGTTTAATCGGCAAGTAGTGATAACCAGACAAACGGCCCTTACGCCTGGCGCACACGGTACTTTTTAACGCTGCTTTGCATAGCTCGAGTGTAGTGGAATGTAAGCGGCAACACAGTGTTAAAAACAGCTGACACGCCAGGCCCTACATTAGGTTTGTTCTACACGGGCCCGCGGGTGCCCAAATTAGCCCAGAGCGTTCCTCACGCAAGAAAATGGGGAATAGAGAGCGAATACGTTCCACGTTTGGATCGTAAATATCCTCTTCTTCGTGCCCGAAACTACCCGGACTTTTTTCCGGCTGTTGTTTGTTTACATCCGAAAGCAAATTCTATAATACAAAAATGGAAAACACCACTAAAGTTTCAAAAAATGTACATAGGTATTTGCTAATTTTATTAGCCGTATGAGATAAACACACATAACATCATTGTTTTTCATTTAGATTCTCCGAAAATAGGTTCTTTCCCGAACAACCCGGACCGGATCCGGTAATTGGAGAAGAAGCGAAAAATTTACTCTCAAAAAATGGAACAATGTCCAGAGGTACAGGAACGAAAAAAACCACATTTCGTGCCCAGAATTTGAGAAATAACTGATTCAAGTGGTTTTTGTTATCGACACTTAAATGCAAACACTTGAATTGAATTTAGGTTTCACAAATTTGGTTGTTTTAATAAAAAAGTATATAAAGAATGAGAATATATGTAAACACAGAACAGATTATATGCCCGGAGAAAAAGTCTGTTTCGGGCAGGAAGAAGAAGGCACTTACGTTCCGATACGGGAACCCGCGTTGCTTACGGGAAAGGACCTTATAAAAAGTTCTTTCCCGTACAACCCGGACCGGATCCGGTAATTAGGGAATAATCAAAAAATTTTCTCTCAAAATTGGAACAATGTCCAGAAGTATGGGGACGGGAGAAACCATATTTCGCGCCAGGAATTTGAGAAATAGCTTATTCAAGTGGTTTTTGTTATCGACACTTACAGGTCTATTCCGCGCTGGTAATAAAAAGTTTGTAACCGGTAAATAAAGTACCTGTCAATTTTTAAACCCTTTTCGCATTCTGTGTACTCTTGTAACCAGTAAATTTGGTTACCATCTCATAAGCTGGTAACAAAGTATTGCCCCGTGAAATATGCAATGCCAGAATTGGCACAATTCTTCATAGCTGAATTGCTGAATATTTTAACTGCATCACCAACGTTCCTAGAATCGCGGTGACAAGAACTGGTAACATTTTTTGGTAATAAAGTTTTCCGGTTACAAAATTTCGGTAATGTGCAGAATAGACCTGTTACAGGTTTTTGAAATCAACTTATTTTTACTCTCTAATCACCGAAACAGCCCGGAAAGCATGTGGAATTGATGGTGTTGGGGCTGATTTACCTTGACTTCTTATAATATTATGCAGATGATTTTGTTAAAATACTATTTAACAATTTAAGATTTTTTCACATCAGTTGACTTGTTGAAAGGTCTAAAACTATGTTGACATTACAACGTAAACTATGTTCGTTTAAATTACTTCACACACCAAAACGACGAAGATTTGTCTGGATATATAACGCGTCGTAATGCCTTATAATCAGGGCTATCACAGAATCCATCGTATCTTCGAATCCGAATGGCTACGAACGAGAATTCGGTATTCGTAGAGAGCCTTCATTGAATCCGTTCGTAATGAAGATTCCTACAGATACTCTGCGAGTTTATGCTGTCGGAACAAAATTTAAAATCACTGAAACTTAAAACTAATGGAAAAAAGCTGTATTATTAATAATAATCCATATATATAAATACGCCACAATAAAATTTTTAACTCCCTTTTTATAACGGTACCGTTCGCTCGACTTCAATGAAAAATACACCAAAATGTTCACCCCGTTACATAGGGGCGTGGCATCCGAAATGCAGATTAAAATGTGAAAACCGATATATCTCTAAAACCGATTGCGCTGAGAAACGGAAACTTGGCAACGGTGCTCAAATTGTAAACACCTTACATACGGCTAAAAATTGTAGGTATTGGAAAAGCGGGTGTGGCACCTCCAATACAAACTGAAATTCTCATATCGGCTATCTCTGGAACTGCTTGCGCTAACGTCCTAGAATTTCATACGGCAAGATATGTTATCAATACCGTAATTACGGTGAAAAGTGGTAGATTTTAGCAAAGCGGGCGTGGCACGCCCACACAAACTGAAATTCTCATATCGCTTTCTCTGGAACTGCTACGCTAATGTCCTGAAATTTGATACAGCTATTTCTGCCATCAATAACGTACTTATGACAAAAGGTGGTAGATAATGGAAAATAGTTATTAATTTGTTTCGCTCATGCCACGGGTGCTTTTGCTTTCATGCCGCGTGCCGTGAACCTCTTTGGTAACGTACTGAAATTTGTCGCAGCTACATATGTTATCAGTATAGTACTTATGACGAAAAGTGGTAGGTTTTGGAAAGGGGGTTGCGGCACCTCCCATACAAAATGAAATTTGTCTTCCGACAGGTGGCGCAGGGATTAAGATCTATCCTCAAAAATCTTATGTATGATCAGATTTGCATCATTTTTGGAACACATATCAGTAACATCAAATTTGGTGTAACTTGGTAGTCCTATCGTTTCTGTTTATGTTTCAATGCAAAATGTTGGGCTTTAGGCCCAATCTACCTTTACAAATTCCGATGCAAAGAAAGAGGAGTTTTTGTAGACGTTGGCAATTTCATTTTTAACTTTCAAAAGACTCTTAGACCAATATAATCAAAAAAAGTATTTACAGTCTGAGTTGGTATATGTTTAACATATTAGTCAGCGAAAACCCGGTATTCATCTCATCTATGCATATAAATACATATGCATATTTTTTGTTAATGAAAATTAAGGTTCATTTATCGGACTAATTTCGAAAGAAATTTGGTTTTCAGTTTTCCCGTAAATTCGTCGTAAAATTTTCTGGTGAACTTAGAAATCGTCACTCGCATAAAGGAGTCAATATTGGCGAAAAGCAAAATTCAAAAGAGTATGAAAAAAAGATGTCGAATTTCGACAACTGGGCGATACCAGTAAATATTTGTAATAGTTTGATATAATTCCGTATATTTGTGTAAATGTAGACGTAAAATACCAATGCCATACATACGTACATATTTACATTCATCTGCTAGTCGCTATTTAATGAATGAATATTTTTTATAAAGCGAGGAAATAATAGTTTAACATCAATTTATTAGGAAAAAACCTAATCATAAAAATTAATAAAAAATAAAATTCGTTTATCTTTAAAAGAATAAAATCTAAACTAAAAAAAATATTAAAAAAAGAAACAAAATTAAATAAAAAAAGCTACGCTGCCCGACGACTCGGACTCGACCTCGGATCTCTCAATTGGCAGTCTAGTGCTTTGCTCATTCGACCATTGCGACTGGTGGGGCAGCGTGAGCAAAACGGCATACATAAATTCTATTGTTTCCTTTTCACTAACTGATTTTGAATCAGTCATAACATTTTCTTCGAATTCGTAGATTTTCAGTGATGGATTCCGTGATAGCCCTGAATGTCATTTAGTGTTCTTTATTTTTCATGAATTTTGGTATTAAAATTTTTGAACGTAAAATAACGGTTAATACCTTTTTAGGCGCTTTGTAACTTTACCAAAATGTTTTTAAACTAATCGGAAATATATTATTGGCTACGAACCTATTAAAACGCTTTTAGCTGTTATTATACATTGAAAAATTTTAAGACTTTTAAGACATTACGCCGCTTAACGGGACTTGTGGATCCCCTAAGTATGTTAATTTCACCTCATTTCGGAAGCACTATTTTTCATATTTTAAGGTACTTTGTTAAAAGTTGTCTAAATGAAATGACTATACGGCGGATTTTTATACAAAAAAAAACAAGCCTAAAAATATGTACCATACAATACATACCAAAATTTGTAATACATATTTTAGGCATGTTTTCGCATAAAAACCAGCCATGTTTTTCGGAAATTCCGGAAGTTTTCGAGACTACGGATAATACTCTTGCATTTGTACAAATATGTACGTATATCTATTATGTAAATACTTATATAGTATCCAATCGTCGATTATCAAGTGAAGTTCCTATGCCGTAATTAATTTTATAAATTGGTCAGCCTAACTGATAATTAAGAAAACTATTTAAATATTTTTAATTAATAAATAAATATTTAACAGGTGGTTGCCGTTTTCATTGTAATAATAACTTCATCCAACAGCAATGACAAGTACAACAGTTTGAATGGAAGTAATACGCAGTGTGAGTATGAGCCTAAGACCCAACGACACTTTAATCGGGCCATGGCTATGCGTTCCCTCAAAGGATTTTCTTCTTCCTCGACTTTGACGGGTTCTTCTTCACGCAATGTTAGACATAGAAAAAACTAAAACTCCATAACGCAGATCTTTAAAAAAGGGATGATTTACCAATGTTTAGAATTTACGTCCACGGTCATGTCAACAAATATATAAAATTTGCTTGATGGCACAAATGCTTACAAATACATATGTATGTACATGTACACGCGAACATACCGAATATACACACAGCATACGATCAATCAGTTTTTAAGTGCGGCGATGCCCATCGACAAGCGAGAAATTGATAGATCGCAAAAACATACATACATATAACATGCCAAAAAAGCACGGATCTCATGAAGATAAGTGACCCAGTTACCTATTTAATTTTTATTATGTTACTTCACTACTAAATTAATATACAGCTTTAGAATTAGTAAATTCCAAAAAAAGGAATACACATTTGAAGAAGTACCAGATTATTTGAAATTTACTTAATTTTTACTTTTGTAAGCCAAATTTTTACGCCATACAATTTAGTCCTTTTGTTCCTATGTACAAAGATTTACATTTATATAAATATGTAAGCATATATTTTTACATTTTTAAAAATAAGTTTGTATGCAAATCAAATGTACTCATCACGCTGAAGATCATTTTTTTTTTGGAAATTTTTTGTAAATTTCTGTGATAATTTAAATAATTAAATCCAACGTTTTAATCTTTGACGCATATCGTCATCATCAATGCAAAATACCATATTTGGCAAATTTGAAACTTTACAAAAGTAAGCGCCGGTTGCTCAAATCATCGGTTAACATTGTTATCGACGTTTTCGACTTCATGCATATAACACGGTGTCGGTAACTTCCGTAACGATGTTTAACCGGGGATTAGTGTCAACCAGGCTTTAAGCAACCGGCCCTAAACTATTATGGCTGACTTCCAAAACGTCAATTGCTTTGTATAAGTACAAAGTATAATGTTCCATAACGCCGAACTACAAAATATTGACAATGTATACTTTTCCAAAACGCATCCGAAATTTTATCGAAACGCATCGCTAGCGCAATCAGTGCATCAGAAACAAAGTTGATGCTTCGTTTGTTATTGGTTACCATTGGTGTTTTAAAAAAATGCAAAACTCAGAAAAACTGTTCATTGCTAAATTGAATATTTAAAATATGCAATGTATATGGTTGCAATGTGTCGCAACTCTGATTATATAAACAGTTTGAATACCGCACTATAACAGTTTCCAAACATTGTATTGATACGTTTTGGAAGTCAGCCTATTTTGCAGAGCTGTTCTAAAGATGCCAATTACAGGTCTATTCTGCGCTGGTAACATAAATCTTGTAACCGGTATTTAAAGTGTCTGTCAATTTTTATCAACAACATTTATATCGTGCGTTGACAAGTGCGATAGCGATCCGAAAATTGTCGCTAATTGGTTACAAAATCTCCTCCCTGATATAGAGAATATGGCTGACTTCTAAAACGTCAATTGCTTTGCATACGTACAAAGTATAATGTTCCATAATGCCGAACTACAAAATGTTGACAATGTATACTTTTCCAAAACGCATCCGAAAAGTTATCGAAACGTATCGCTAGAGCAATCAGCGCATCAGAAATAAAGTTGATGCTTCGTTTGCTATTGGTTACCATTGGTGTTTTTATGAATGGAAAATTCAGAAAAAATATACATTGCT